CAAACAATCCTGTTGCTGCTATTTAGCAATGTTTATGCTGTAAAACAACACCTTTCATAAATTGCTCTGAAATCCAAATGGCATGCAATAAAAAAACACAGAAATTCAAATATCTTACCAGCAGTTTTACTCCAGTATCGTATTATTTAATAATTTATTAAGAATATTCACGCTTGACCTCACTTACATCAAATGATATCTGAAAATACCAGTACACATTGAAATGCACCGAGTAGTGGAAGCCGAGATTGATGCTGTTTGCTTCTGGCAGCACTGACTCAGTGACTGTCTGACACAACCCATCTGGGGGAAGCGCTCATACAGCATCAGGCTTCATCAGTCGCACCACTAACGATGTGCTTCCAATTAAGAGCACCCAGTGATCACAGCAGAGGATTTGTACAAACACAGACGACTAAAGTGACAGAAAAACAGAAAGCGGCGATAAGACGGAGACTGTGTAAGAAGAGAGTCGAGCCTTGCATAAAATTTACAGCAACATGAGAGCAGTAAATAAGAAAGATGAGTGAGATTGGAGCAGGAGAGGAGCCATGTAGTTTATTGCCTGGTTTAGAGAGCATGGCCGCTTGGCTTTGACACTAATGACTGTAATTATACACACACTGATTGGGTTAGGCCGCTAATTACACACATCCGTGTTTGCGTGTAAACACAGGAACACATGTTTACACAGGCGTCATGCCAAGCGCTCAGCGCATCGCTGCTTTCTCACATTGAGTGCATAAATCTCACACAGTTGTCTCTGCGGCAGTGATGATTCATGATCTGCTGAAGACCACATTACCATCTAGGAAAGAGTTTAAATCATGTGAAGAATCTGTGTAGATGTGGCGCTTTGGATTTTTATGGAGTTGGCTTGTGCTTAAAGTTTATGCCTCCTGTTTTTCCTTCACTGCAGCAATGGAAACTCATGGAACTCATCTTTTAAATGGCATTTACAATTTGAAAGATCAAAGGAAATTTCTGCATTCCTCTTATTAATGTTCTTTGTGTCATCATTATGGTGTGAAATTAGAAGATCTGCAAGGGTCAGTTGCAATTATGTTCAGTTTATAAATGTCATTTTCAGGAAATTAGATTTCTTAAAAAAATGCTTACATTGGCCAGGATAAATTAGTTAGTTAACTAATAGGCAGTGATTCAAATTATGTTCTGTCAGCTGGCACATGTATGGATTTTTTGAATATACATTTTCATTCTGTACTACATATTGGGGCAAACTAATTCAAAATATGCACGTTCTGTAAATACATTCATATTTATATATTGCTGTTTACTCTTAATTTGTAATTCAAATAGTTATTTATTAGTGACAGATTTTACTAATCAGTCACTGTATCTCTTCATTGACAGCTATTGCACCTCAGCACTCCACGACTGGTTTTCTTTTTGTTCTATTTCTGTTTAGAAAATGGTTTTGCTCAGTGGTTTTCCTCTGTGCTGTGGCTCAAGGTTGCATCATTGTCCACAAAAAAAAAAATCCAAATAAATGCCATCAAAATCAAGAAATCAGTCAAAAGATTGTTGGGATTGAACACTGCAGAGCATTTTTATGTTTTTGTCGCTGTTGTTTATCGTAGATGGCTACAAACTCATAAGAGCTTCACTAATGAATCTCATACACTTTTGAGACAACAAAAAAAAATGTCAGTTCACATATTAGTGCCTCTCTCAAGTGTCTTCTCGGATCCTAAACGTTTTAAGTTGCGGCTAATAAGGCCAAAAGTTTATGAGTGTGTGTTTGCAATGCATGCGTGTGTGTCCCCGGCCCCCCCACATCCACAGGAACAATGATGCCATTTATTAGCGTTTCGATGAGCGCATGCATCTTCTCAACTGAAGCAAAACGGGACTGTCTTCCCATCCGCTGCTCTGATAGAAAATCCCAGCTTGCTCTTTTACAAGAAAATTAACATTGGGGAGGTACAGTGGTACTTTAATGGGCTAAGAAGTCTTCAATAAAGTATTTAGAAGATTTTTTTCCGAATGCTAACTGGACAGGTTCACTGGGGCATGAAAGAAAGAGCGTAAAGCGGGGGCAGCAAGCTCTTCAGCCCGTACAGAGCACCATTATCCACCGTCGTTAATTTAATAGACATTCCTTACTCAGCCCTGGGTCTGAAGATAGGAGACCCTAACATTTGTTTGTCATTTCCCAAAACGGTTTTAATAAACAGTTAAAATCTTAAATGGCTTCTTGTACTCTTAATGTTCCCTGGCTGCGCTTGCGTTTGTTTTGTTTTGTTTTGGTTGTGATTTTTTTGTTTTTTTCTTCTCTTTTATATGCACTTTCTTATATAATTTAATGATTCCTGGATCCCATTTGCTCACCCATCTTTGAGTTTAGTAATAAGTTATAATGAAGATGGTTATAATGAAGATGATGTACGCCAACTTCTTTATGCCCCAGATTTTCGAGGACATTGGATTGAAACTGTTTTTTCGAGGCAAGTGCATGTCATTGTGCAAAAAAAATAGGTGGAAGCAAGTGTAAACCACACGAGTCAGTTTCGAGCTGGAAAGTGAGTTTTTTTTTTTAGTTTTTTTTTCATTCTCTCTTCTTAAACTGCTAAAGATACGAAAGGTGCTTTAAAGACTTTGAAGATAATTTCTCGTGTGTTTGTTCCTGCGTGTGCTTGTGTTACAGCACGGAAAGGAAGGGTTGTGTTGCTCTAAACCTCAGCAAAATTGAGGACATGCAGACCAGACTGCAAAGCAACCTGGAGGCCATCGGAATGCTAAATCAACAAGTAAGAGCTCGTGCACACACGCACACACACCAGGTCCTGACAGTCCTTTTACCCCGACAGATACAAATACACACCCACGCACCAGCCCACCTGCTGTTGAGCTCACACAGAAGAGGAAGCTTTCATGCGTCCAACTTCAAACGCACACATGCGCACTTACACAGAGGCGCACACAGACATCCATTTCCTCTTCCTACGATAAAAGTGAAAAAGTCGGCAGCGGAGTGGGGGTGTGTGTGTGGTGTGGGGAAGGAGGAGGGGGGGGACAAATCGTATCGGGAAAAAGCAGTGACGTTTCTTTCCACTGGTAAATGATTTCCCTTTCATGAAACTGAGAGAGAGATGTATATCAATACAGCCGCGCTGATCTCTCCATGACAGCATAGGGAAATGGCCTGCTGTGATAAAACAATGTGGGGGAAAAAACACAGAGGAATATTCTCGGGAAATGCTGACATTTTTTACTGTGTTGAACTTCACAAGAGTCAACAAATCACCAAAGGAGAGACGAATCAAAAGTACTCCTCAGCCCCCTCAGTTCTCCAAAACTCCAGGGCCTAGGGAACGGCTCACCCGACTTTTGTTAGTTTGCGGAGTGGCCCGCTGATTGACGGGCTACGACGAAAGCCGGTACTTGTTGAAGTTTTAATGTAGTGTTGTTTCAGCGAAGAGCACATGACATTAGCTGTGGGTTCGAGACAAAAGAAACGCAGAGCAGAGGAAGAGACAGACAGAAAGAGAGAGGTGTTGTTTAACAGGTCAGGTGTGTAATAGCACCTCTTAATCTCTAGTGTGAATCATTACACACATCGATCCAACGCGGACAATCTACTCACGCACAAACATACAAGCAGATGGGATGGGATAGGATACAAACGCTCTCCGTCCACACGTTTGTGTCCACACATGAACACAAACAGAAATCAGTAAGGAAGTTGAATGAAATGACGCAGTTTATTTATGTGAAAGGTGTTGGGTTATAAATCAGGTCTGTGTCTTATTTACTCATAGTCACAGACTGGATTAGTGCTTTCTCACACACTTTCTCAACACACATGCGTGATTTCCGTCTGGCTGTCGAGCTGATTTCATGCAAACTTTTGAAATGTCGCACGAAATTAAATGAGATGAAGATGAGCATCACAGGAAAGAAACGGAGATTCTTTATAGCCTTGATAAGTGTTGTTCTTCTGCTATTGTCCAGGTTGCAAAGATGAAAAACATGTCTGGCAATATTGTAGCTCACCCTCAGCTAGAAGATGGACAGGTGTGTCCAATGTTTCTTTTGATTCCAGTGGGAAGATCGTTTTACACAAAAATGAAGCACTCAAAAAAATAACCAAATTTAAATTTACTCAAAGTTTGCTATCCGTAATTAGCTTCTCTGGCTCGGTAATTTTCATAATTTGCAATAAAACACTCAAATGGAAACTGAGCAAACACAAATGAAAAAGTAGAAACACACTCAAGCAGCGGCGGCGTTAGAACAACCCCCCTCTGTGTCTTTCTGTCTGTTTCTTTCTTTCAGCTCTCCACTTATACACATCTTCACATCCTTTTCATCCAAACATATGCACACCAATTCACCCGCAGTATGCGAAGGTTGAGGAGACAAGCTGTGATTTTTAATTTCACCCCCCTCCCTTGCAATTAGAAAAGCATCCAGAGCCACCAAAGATGAGGAAAATTAAACAGGTCCCCTTGAATATACAGTTAATTATAAATGTCACCCTCAGTGTTTTTCATCTAGAAATTCTATTGCTCTCGGCGTAACATAAAATGATGAACACATTGCAGGATGTTTGCCTGTTCAAGATAGTAAATACTTTGAAAGCGTCTTGTGATGGTTTTGACACATCGACGCGCCATCGGCCGCGCGAGGGTTAAGCCTAAGACCCGGCTATTTCTAGTCATCAGATGTAATACATTTGCTCAGATTTATTAAGCATGTGTGCGTGTGTACGGTGTCTGGACGGGTAATGTTAGCGAAACCATCCGGAAATGTGTCTGTCTCATCTCCGTTTGTGTTTCTCTCTCTTCTCTCTCCTTCACGCACACACACAGTTATATGCACACACATGGCCAGACATGTCAACGTGACATCATTCTTTAACCGCAGCTTTCACACACACACACACACACTAAAAAAACAGATGTGGATGAGTGCAACTGTCATTACCCGACATGTCTCTTTGTCTTTGCATCCTTTAATTTCTTATTTTACTCTTCCCTCATAGCTAAAAATACATTATTTCAAATCTTTTATTCTCTTTTATCTGCCTTGTTATAATTTTTAGACTGGCACATTTTGCATATAATTACCATGCTTTACAACAAATACAAATGCTTTTATTTTTTTATATACTTTTTTTTTTTTTATTTGCATTTAAAGCCACTTTTTTTTTTTTTTAACTCACACTCCTCCCTGCCTTTTACCCAAATGTCCTTGTCAAAAAAAATACACCCTCAATTTAGCTAGTCTGTAATTGTGTTTCAGGGAGCCCAATCATGTTCTGACGATGTGCGATTTGTTTTGTGTCACGGATGATTTTGTGTCAAATCGACCTCTAATGATCGCTCAAATTGGTTGTTTTCATGTAGAAATTTACACCGTCGCATGACTCCCACTTGCAACCATTTCAAACTGTGAACACAATACACTCCTGAAAAAGCCCCTTTGCAATTTGCTATTTGCATTTCTGTTTCAACAGGCATGACAGCAACTGTGAAAGATGAATTAAGCACATAATGGAATGTCGGCTACTTGATGAACACGATAGCTGTTCACTTTTGATGGTTGATATTTATTGCTAACTTTGAATTAAGGTTTCGGGATTTGATTGATTTAGCTAAAGGACTGTGACATATCAGGTTCCTTGAAACTTTCCCCCAAAACTGTCCCTCGGTCTGTCACGCCACCAAACATGAAGGTTGTCTCTCAAAAGCATCTCTTTGTCTGTGCATGTCTTCCTCTGTGCATATGTCTCTCTCAATCTCTCTTTCTTTCTTTCTCTCTAAAGTTAAACGCCCTCAGCGGGGAGAATAAGCGGTTGCGTAGGCAGCTGGAGGAGGAGAGGTCCATGCGTAGACAAGTAGAGCAACTGCTCCCACCTCCTCCCACGTCCCAGCTCTGCTCCTCCATCCCCCTCTCCCACAGATCCCACCCTCCTCCTCCTCCTCCTCTCTCCGCCTCCCTCTGCCTCCCTCATCCTCTGGGTCCAGAGACACAGGACCCTATCGGGATTCTAACACAAACCAAGCTGAATAGAGCCGGATCAGAGAGACCAGGTGAGTCCCAGGCTTTGGGTGAAGCGTTCCAGATTAGGCCAACTGCAGCGCACGCTGTCTCCACCTTTCTGGAAGATACTTGGTCTGGGAGGACAAGCAGGCATCTGGCCAAATGAAGCCCCCTGAAGACTTTGACCTGTCATGACTTTTTGACCTTCAGCTCCTCACTGGGGAGCATGCTCAGTATGAGGTTAATGTCCTGCAGGTCAAAGTCAAGTCCCAGGGTTCTTTTTGCCTGAGGGGGGCTCCAGAACCAGCAAATGATGGAATTTCCTTAGCCATGTTTTATATGGCTACTGCTATGCCACGAGAAGAAGAGATTCATTCCAAGAAAATGTTCACATTTATAGAATATCTTTAAAGCAAATAAAGCTTATAGAATCTGAAATGAAATCTTTAAACAATGATGTTCTTTTGCAACAAAACTGTAGCACTAAGCGCGAGAATATTTTCTAACATCTGCACTTATTTGAAAATCCCCAACAGTCCTGATGAACTATAATCATTTTAATGATCTTGAATGGGCAAATGAGCTAAACAGAGCAAATGACGGAGTGCAAATGTGTCTTACACTGGAGATGAGTCCTGCTTTGGATAAATGAGAGACGGCACATCATCAGTATCCACAGACATGGCTCAGATGTTGATGTAAATGGCTGGGGCTCAGCCTCTGATTACGCTGCAGCTGTGCACCATGTGTCCCACGTCTACTGTGGTGAATGTGACCGTGTGTCTTTATGTCGGAGTACATTATGTGTCTGTGTGCTTCTGTCTCTCTGTAAGGGCCTGTGGGTGAGTGTGCTCTCGCGCGTTTGAGTATATTAGTTGTTTAATGTTGTTTTATGTTTTTGTTTTATACTTTAAAACCTATTTATTGATTTTTCTCTGTCGCTGTGTTTGAGCCCCTGTGTCGGGATAACAGAAAAATAAAATTTGTAAGCAGCTTTAGATTTCGCCCTATTTTCATTCCGTGTGTCAATATGCCAAAAATATCTTTTTTTTTTTTGCCAGTTGGATGCTTGTAGTTTAACAACAGCTTGCAGAGCTGGCTGTTAGCATTGTGTAATTAGGCTTTTTTTTATAGTTTTATATGACTGCTGAGTCAGACGATCGTGTTGACATGGGAACTACATTACTAGGCAGCAAAATCATTACAGTAAATGATCTAAAATGTGGTTTTGAAACGCACTCAAATCATATCTTTCCATGCACATCTACAGGTGACTCATGCCTCTTTTTATGTTTATAGTGTTTGAACAAGAGCAGTGCTCATTCACACAAGTGAAGACAAGGAGAAGAAGTATGCAAATATCTGAATCTCTGCAGAAAGAGCACCATTACACTGTGATAATGAGAATTCTGGAGAAAGCAGGTCTCAGACCACAATTGGCTTCTTCATCTTGCCATTCTCTGTCACCGTCTCCCCCCACCTGTCTTCAAAACACCCTTTTTTTTTTATCCTTCATTGGTTCTGTATATACATAGCTGTTGTATAGCTGGTCAGGATGTCGTACATTTTAATGATTTCGAGCAGAGCTGCATGTCCTTGTTAGCTTGGTTTTCCTCATTTGCCATGCCACACTCAAAAATACCCTTTTTTTATGTGCAAACACACACGAGTGCACCCGCTCACACATGTATACTCTTTCACAAACGCGCACACGCACACTTACACAAATAGCACAGTCATTAAAAATGAAACCACAGGCTTTTTGAAAACTCCCAGGACTGAGGGAAAAGTCAGCGGCGCAGCGGTGAAAAGAGTCCCCCTGGAAACAATGAGGAGAATGATCATTTGTTGTTCTTGAAAACCCGGTGAGGTTTCACAGAGGTTAAGCTTCCCTTTGATGTGTTTTTAACTCGTTTCAGCTCTGTGGAGGGATTAGTCAGCCTCTCACACACACAAACACGAGTGCACACATTCACACACACACACACACACACACAAGCACATGCAGGCTCTTAATTTCCACACCATGAGCTCCTCTCTCACAAAGACGAAAAGCACAGAACAGGCTCCTTCCTAACCTAATTTCATCAAATGAGCGTGTGTGGTACTTCGCTGCTGTATGTGTGGTCCCCTGGAAATCTGTGGTAAACCAGCAAAATATTGCAAGTCAGTGTTTTCTTTTTATCCCAAATTAGTGTTGGGCTGTTTGTGAACAGTGTAGGCCCTCAACCACGAGAGAGACGGAGAGACAGAGAAGCTGTTGATCATCACAGCACTCATTAAAGTGTTTACGAGGCATTATTTGATCCCTATTTCAAGTTACAAATGATTGGGGTGCTCGTGCCCATGATGTGTTTGTGTGTATGTGTGTGTGTGTGTTTGTGTGCTATCAGCTCCAGTCTGGGTTTCATAGCCCATGCTAATATCCACACACAGGATTTGTGTTCATAGCTCATGTTAAGCAACTCTGCAACAAATAAGCATTTAAGTGTTTGTTCTAACCAACTTGGAGCACTAAACGTGCAGAGACAGGCAGCACCAGAGCAATTCATATAGATTCTTTGCATCAATAATAAATATGCATTGCATCTCTATAATTTGTTACACTTATTACTAGCTGTAAGATTCTTGCAGAAACTCATTACAGTTATTAAAATGAGGGAAGTGGATTTGATCTAATGTTATTTGCTAAATAAAATCCATGAAATTGCTGTTATTCTTGAATATGGCAACATCGAAATTGTGATAATTGATAATCAGTTTGGCAAAGTGATTAAAGTGATGAAGGTACAGGATCCTAATGCAAAAGGAAAAATATTTGCTTTTCTATGCAGACTAATGACTAATGAAATGCATTATGCAGAAGAGAGTGATGCCTGGGAAAAAAATACTCATCCATAAAGACTTTGATTTTAGTGATTTCCTAAATATTTCAATATAAACCACCTTTTTCACAATCTATATCTCCTACACTCAGTATATTGTGCCTCTGTTAAAATGACTTTTCGTGGGAGAGGTGGTTTTGCCTCACCACAAACAGAAAATGACAGGACAGTAAGAGAGGGCGAGAAAGAAATAAAACTGACAGTCGTGCTGGCACATGTCTCGTCTACAAGTTAGATCATTCGAAAAGAAAAGAAAAAAGTAGGAAATAAATAAAAGGAGACAGTCATTCACTTTTACAAAGGTGAGTTTTTGTTATATGGTTACTTTTTATAGATATATAGACTATATAGCTAACAAAATGCTGACATTCTGTTAATTTATGTTGTAGGGAAAAGGTCCTTTTTTTAAACTGGTAAAATGTCCCAACAGAAGCTCTCATATCTGCACACATCAACCCACCAACACACACAGATTATCTACATTTTGCATTTAATTAACTCACACATAAAAGAGTAAATTTGCACGAATGTTTAAAAAAAATTATATAGATTTTTTTTTACATATTTATAGGACCTCTGCGGCCTAGAATTAACAGCATTAATCCTTTGCTTAATTTCAACATTTTCTAAATGACCCTCTGCTTACAGTCATGTATACAACATCCATCTATTATGTCTAATAAAGAGACAAACCTGCAGTGTCTAAGGTGCACTACTGATGCAACAACACTTGCATGTGCCTGATATTGTAAGTACAGTATTTAACTGCTAAAATAATGGCATTACAATTGAACCCAAGTTATTATATTGTTGGATTATGATTTCATTTGCATCGGTTGTGGCACTACTGGGAACTCTTTGCATGCTTTTGTATTTTCTATTAACCAGCACAGGACCACAAGCATCAACTCCACAACCAGCTGTTAACTCACACATCCCAGAGGAGGACTAGAAGCAGCCATAACCAAGACTACTTCTTTCATCCGTATGTCTATTGCTTAGTTGTCTGAAAAATAACACTAAAGAAGAACTCTTTAACAGTAAGTCCAAATCAGGAGGGATTTTGTGGAGCGACTTGTCAGTGGGATGAGGGTTTACCAAATACTGGAGTCCAAGTGATGGACAATCTGATTGGCTGCGCAGTAGGAACACAATGCCCTGTTGTTATGGTTGTTGAACTGTTCAGCTGGTGGGGGGGATGATTTCCTCTGTATCTTCTTATCAATTTAGGGACTTTTTTCCCCTTGTTGTGATGTCCAAAAGATACTTTTTCCTGAGCTTTTTCCGACACAAGACACATGAAATTAAATCTTGAAATGCAAAGAGTAGAAGAGTTTGGAAAAACTACGAAGCAGAAAGTGGTGGGAGATGATATGAGGGGAATTTACGGGACACCAAAAGCAAACCAGGAAAGGAGTCGACTGATGGAGACTACAATACCCAGAAGCACTTGGGCAGATGAACAGTGCTAGTGTGGTGGTTTAGAAACAGGGGGAGATTCAGTGTTGTTAACAAAGGGGAGTGAACCCTGACTCTCTAGCTGACTTTGAAAACAAATAAGTTTGGGGGAGAGTTTGTTAGCGAACTCGAAACTTGTGAAGTTATAAGAACTCACAGAGCATAATGTCACACAAATGCAATTCAAAGTACTGTAGAGAGCGATAAACAAAATAATCCAGGTGAAAGCTTTATTAGTCACATCTGTGTGTCCGTCTTACACTGGTGTTAGTGGGCAACATAACATCATTAATGACAACCAGCAGTCTTCAGTCAATGGGGAGCAATTTAAACTAGACACGATACAGACAACTATCATGTAGTTCGAATTCATGTTGATTAGCTAACAGCAGAACAAACCTTGAAAAGAAAGATCAAAAGACATTCCTGAGAATTGAATTAATGTTAATATACTTCTTGTGCTCTGTGAATGGAAATTTAAACACTTGGGGTCTGTGCTTGCCTGAAAAATGGTCCTAAAATCACACATTTAGGTCATAAATGGACAGCATCATGAATGTGATGCCAATCAAAGTGAAAGGAAAGAAGAAAAGTCTACTTAATGTACTGATGAAGATGGCCAACAAATATATTGGGATACTGTCACGGCCAGGAATCTTTGACTTTGAAACAAACCATGAAAATGTTTTTTTTTTAACATTACAACAACACTACTACTGAATTTTTGTGGTAAATGTCTGATTATAAAGGCACTCCTGTGTGTTATAAAGACTGTGTTTTATTGTTTTAACAGCGAGTATGGTGGTACACACAGGACATGCAGCAGATTTGTGCGTCTATCTCTTAATAGGTAAGTTGACCATGTGGCCAGTTTCTCAAGAAAGATTCCCCCAGAAGTAAAGGAGTGAGAGGAAATGTGGGGGAAATGGTACAGTTTAAGACAGTAGGAAACCTAGAGGGAAGAAGAGATTACGAGGCAATTTGAGGGAGAGAAAGAGTTGAGGACTACAGGGATGGAGGAAAGAGAGCAGTGAAGGAGGGATGCATGGAGGGAAGAGACTGAAAGAATGCTGCTGGGGATTTGGGGAATAAGTTTGGGAATGAGGGGAGGAACGGCGAGTGAGAGATGGATGCAGAGGGAGACTGACAAAAGAGTGAAGGGAAGGAGGTGTAGCGTGTGATTTAGAGAGTAAAGAGGTTAAGATGGGAAAAGAGGAGGGGAAAGAAGAGATGAAGGAGGAGGAGGAGTAATGGGACATTTAGGGAGAGGTGGTGAGTTAGAAAGAGAAGTGAAAGGTGAGAGAAGTCGGCGACGGGGAGAATGAGAGATGGAGGAATGAGGAGACGCTGGAGATTTAGAGAGGGGAAAGATGGGAAAAGAGCAGAATGAGAGAAAGGAAAGAATGAGAGAGTAGTGTGAGATTTAGGGTATATGTGGAAGAGAGAGTGCCAAAGAAGAGCATATTGTCCTTATCGGCCTGCTCCAGAAAGCCTGCTCCCTAATGGGGCCGGTGTGAAGGGGAAATGAGGACTAGGCCTGATGCTACCTGATTAGCCATGGACTCAAACACACATCAAAGGCAGGGAGGAGAGGAAGGAGTGCAAGGTGTGTGTGTGTGTGTGTGGTTGTGGGCTGAAGGTGAGTCACCATCACC